AAACCAGGAAACAGAATCTAACACTAGGAAAATAACAAAGACAGGTAAAACACAACCAAGGGCACAAAGCAAGAACAAAACAGAACACAAACCACAGACTAGGAACAAGAAAACTAATAGAAAAGAAACACTGGGGAACAAAATCTAATAAATACAAAAACATCTGGCTTCAAATTCACAACTGAAGGGTTTACAGCTGCACACTCAGCCCATAGAGGTCAGGGGGCTGCGGAAAACAGAGACGACAGGATGGGCAGCAACACCTGCTGGCCAAAAGGGGAGGAAACATGAAAGGCGGATGGGTGCTGACTGACAGCTGGCCAAAAATCAGAACAGGGAAAAACGTCAGGGATCAGACACAGAACTGGAAACACAGAGTACCAAACATGCAAGAGACCTTGGCAGGTGCCCAAGACAACTGGGAACTGGGAAACAGAACCTTCAGTACACTGGGGAATGGTCAGCGTCATGGGGGCATTCACGGGCCATGCCCCCCCCCCAAGTGAGCCATCGCACCTTTCCAAATGCCACCCAGCAATGATGCCATCTCTCACCAGGCAAGAACAACGACATTCGCCACATATTGTATCTCAGTTGGTAAGTAACTGAGAATCATAACTGATAGCTATGAACCCTAAGGTTCCCCTTACCTGCTCAGAATTATTCCCATAGTGCTTAGCGGCAGCCAGCTGTCATGATAGTTTGCTTTTGGCCCAGCTAGGCTCAGTCCATCTTGGTTCGGCCTCCAGTGCGTTTTGCTAATTTTGTTTCATTCAATGTAAGTGGATTTGCCTGATACGCTTCCTGTTTGGGGTATTGTCTTTTCTCTTGAGGAATATTATGGATAAATGCTGTTTCTTTCTTACCTGGAGTCCCTTTTAACAGCAGTGAGATTGAAATTGTTCTCTAGCAACCAAGAGTATTATATATTTGTTGTAAACTGACAAAGCACAAATAACAATTTCAGCCTTTTCAGTACAGAAATTTATTCTGACAAAGCGCAGACTTCATTGTAATGACCATCCTGTCACAGGTAAAATTCTTCTGTGGGAAGAAGTAACTAAGGTGCCAAGTAATTTCAACCATATTCATGTGCAAAACTCAGAATATTTACTCTATATTAATTTGCCATTTTACATCAAACAAATAATTTTGTTGAGGTTACAGTAAGTATATATATAAAAATGAGGTTAAGTATATATATAAAAATGAAATGGACAGGAGTGACATTGTAAAAATAAACATGATCAAATGTGGATTTTCTAAACACTGAAATGTTAAAGGTACAAAACAGCTTTGTATTTTAGAGCATGAGATTGCTACTATCATTGTACAACATGAATTATGTTGATTTATTTAAACAGGTTTGGTAACAATTTCTATGAGTGCCATTTCTATAAGAATATAAGAAAACAGTCATAACAGTTTGTAATGCATTTATAATAATGCATTTGTTCTTTTCAAGATGAGGGCCAGATCAAGCAGGATTCTGAAATTTCTATTAATAGCTTCAGGTTCCCAAGAAGCATGCAAACAATGTATCTCTGAAACAATGTATCTCTGAAACAATGTATCTCTGAAACAATGTATCTCTGAAACAATGTATCTCTGAAATGTCATTAGTGCTATCCAGTTTTGATTCCGTATTATGACTGTCGATTCACAATTTAACGTATTCCATGCAATAGAGGGTGCTATAGAAAACTGAAACAGATAAGACTGCTATAATACTTGTCGGGAGTAATATGGGCAGCAGTGAAATGCAGTATGCATTAGTGTGCCTGTCCCTGGAATACCTCTGTGGGATGAAGCTCTGTATTGTACATGTGTATCTCACTATAGATTTTTCCTTCATTGCTATTCTTACACCCTTGGGTTGAGCACTTTGAGTGGCTGAGCCTGGGAGTCGGCACTAGGATAAAAGAAGGGGTACATGGCTTCTTTAAAATCAGCTCCCAAGTAGGAGAACAGGGGGGTCATATCTGCAGCATTATAAAATGACAGCTGGCCGGCTTCGTAATCCAGGTACATGCCGACCTTCCTCACGCTTCGGTTCCCCACCGTCCAATAGCCGTTTTCTGGGCACAGAACCACCCAGCCGGCCCTCTCCGCCGACTCCGCGGCCACACCCAGGTCCCAGTCTGATCTGTCTCCCACATCCACCTCCCAGTAGTGCCGGCCCGCGGTGAAGCACCGGCTGGCCAGAACACAGGGGCTGAACTCGAAGCGAGTCTCCTCCATCGGCAACCCTTCCTTAGGGGTGTGGGTGTACTGGGCGGACGTCAGGTCCTCCGAGAGGGACAGGAAAGGATTGGCGGTGGCTGGATCGAGGCTTAAGAAGCAGAGACCTAGAATGGAGCACCAGAACCAGTGTCTGACATCAGTACATCTGTACAAATGACAACATTCCTATTTGTTGCCCTGATGATCAACATCTAAGCCTGTAGTTTGTGTTGTAAGCTAACAGGTGTGGGTGCAAATGAGGTATTTCAAAGTTAAAGAAACCAATTTCTCAGCTTTCAGCTTTGCTATCAACATTTAGCAGTCACAAGTCACGCTACAGTGGTTCTCACTATAACTGAAATACATTTCTGATTGCAGCAGTGCAGCTCAGTAAGAAAATGTGCTCCCATATATAATATTATTATAACAGGAGCTCTGAATTTCCCAGCAGTGAAGTTTACCCGCCATTTTGCTGAGACAAAAAGTGACTGAAATCGCTTTGAGCCAATTTATGCATATCTAACGTGCACCTTCCTGTTTGTGAAAACGCTCGCACACCTGCCACTGTCTGCTTCCATTTTTAGAATAAAGCATGACTCAGGGCAATAACAGGAAGTGGGCAAATATGTTAAACACACGTACTGTATAATACAGTAGACGCCAAGGTAAAGTACCAGCATATTCACTATCACAGGTATATGGCACTTATCTAACTTGTACCTTTTTTCTTTGCAAAGAAAAGGAAGCAATATGCACATTTGCAATATGATTTAACTTATTTTATATAACTATTGAGCTACACTTTGAAGCCAGTGATGTGTTACATTTTCCATTCACACCAGAGATACATTAGGTGACAGAAAAGTTACAACCGAAACTTACATTTGTGCAATTAGAGCTACAGCAACAAATGGAATTTACACTGTATTTTAATTTACCTGGTTTAATGATTTCTCCTAATTTCTTCCATATAATGTACTGAATCGGACCCTTGTAGACACCCAGGTCGAAGCAATCTGTCCCCTCATCATTCAGTGCTGCTGGTTGTGCTTTCAGTCTTAATGAAGAAAAAATATATTCTGAGACGATGAGACAAAGTGAGAGAAATGTTGACTGCAGTACTGAGTCATTTGAGGAATTAGCATAGGAATGGCCCATTCAGATACTAAAGTCAAGCAGTGGGAGGGTTTTGGGAAGTTAAACCTCACTGATCTGTCAACCAGAGAAAATGGGCAATGACAAAAATCTTTGTCTCACTAATGCAAACCGTCTTCAGATTTTTAAGTCAGTGTTTGGGGACCTTTTAAGTAGACAGGACTTGTTCAGGTTGAATTTTCTTTGTGACTGAAGCACCATTGTCTGTTATGGAGGGGGGGGGGGGCATGGCACAGGCAGGGGGATCCTTAGCGTGGTTCCAACAAAAAAGGGTTTATTAGCAAGTGTAAGACTGGGACAGCTAAACCACAGAATTAGGCCCACAGTGAAAGCACAGCTACAAACACCAGAATTACTACAAAACCATGAACCACAACAGAGTACAAGTACAATACAACTACAGCTACTAACACAGTAACAACTATAATGATAGATTAAAGAACAGAATGAGGGCAGGAACTTAAGTCTACACAGAGAACAAGGGCTAACAAGGGGCAGGTGTGGAACATAATGAAAAACCAATCAGAAAAGGAATGGGACAACAAAAACAACCACTATATCCATCACAGTAAACAGGAACATGACAAAACACATGATTATTAATGGAAATTACATTTCTCACCTCAAAGTCAGTTCCTGAATATCCTTTGAATAAAAAAAGACAAAGGGGTATTAATACATCTGATCCTATGAATGTCGGTGTAGATATGGGCATCACACCACTCTCTGCTGTCACTGAAATATGATTGTGGGCGCAAATTTCCAAAATTTTGTTGTTTTTGAGATAAGACTGCCAATGACCAAAAGTCTAGACTTCCTCATCAAATATTACAGTATTGGGAAACAAAACTAACTCAGTTATCATGTAATCCAAAAAAAATTACTATTGTTAAATTTTCAAAACTCGTTAAGTCCATAGATGTTTTCTCAAGTGAATTTTGGAAGTTTGCTCTCCAGCTAAACCACAGTGAACTACATGCTTTAACATGCGAATCACACTCAGTTCTTTGAAAACATACAGTCACAATTTGTGTAAAGGAGTTATTTTCAAAAACCAGCTTCAATCAAGTACTTCAATCAGAGTGGATGGATGGCGCGGCTCCTGTTTCAGTTGCTCCCTGAGTGAGGCCACGTCTCTCTGAAGGGCGTCTACTTCCTGGGAGAGGTGCTGGGAGCCTTGCTGCCTGAGCGCCAGCAGCCGCTGCGTCTCCTTTTGCAGCTGGGAGCACAGCCTCTCTCGCTCGCGCTCAATGCACCGCTGCAGACAGTCCATCTCCTGGGTGATGTGGGCGTGCAGGGCCTGAGACTGCTTCTGCAGAGAGGATCCAGGGATGACTGAGGGACGGGAGCGTCGTGTTGCCTAAGCACATTAATGACCAGTAATATGTACGTGACATTCTTCTGAAAATGTTTATTGATTCAGGAAAATAAATCTCCATTGTATTCAATGTATGTGTGTTTGTGTATATATATATATATACACACACACACACACACACACACACACACTTAGGGGCACCGTAAAAGGGGATGAAAGTTAGGATGATTCCGAAGGCCCCTGAGTAACAGGGGCCCTAAAAACTTTTAGGCACAATTGCATTGGTCTGGATCGGGGGCCCAATATGATGCGCTTTCATCGGGCCCAAATTTTCTAGTGACACCCTTGTATATAAGATATTTTCATAAATGGTCCCTAGGTTCAATACATAGACAAAAAGTATCATATTGGTTTGCTGCTCACTGTACTAAGTACTCATATTGTAGTTCACAAAGCTGTATACTAAGTACTCATATTGTAGTTCACAAAGCTGTATACTAAGTACTCATATTGTAGTTCACAAAGCTGTATACTAAGTACTCATATTGTAGTTCACAAAGCTGTATAGTAGTTAAAGACTTCATTCGAATGCTTGAGTTAATTATTACTGCATACCCAATTAATCCATACCTTTATTTCATTAATTTCTTGTTCTTTCTTTTCATAAAGTTCTTTTATTTCTTTCACTTCTTCCTCAAAGTGTTTCACAGCCTCTTCGAAATTGTCCTAAAAACACAATTTATTCTTGGTGTTCCGATATACATTTCACTTGCTGCCATTCACTCTCTCTTACCAGTATGCCTGCATGCTCCCTTCAGGTTGCCCTATTCTTGTGTGATATACTTCCCCTTGTGGCCCCCCACTGGGGCCCCCCCATTTCCACGCCCTTTACCTCACACTGGGCCAGTATCTCCTCCATGGGCGCCAGGCAGTGGGCGCGGTGCTCTTTGGAGACGGCACACACCACGCAGATGGCCGTCTTTTCCTCCACACAGTACATCTTCAGCGGCTCCCGGTGGACCGGACACAGACCTGGCTCCGCTTCCGTCTCCATCTTCTTCCCCAAGGCTTTCTGGGAGAACTTATCACTGTCCTCTATCGGCCCCTTGAACTTCAGCCCTAAATCGCGAACTCTGCCCACAATGGTGGCCAGCAATTTGTTGCTTTTTAAGGTAAACTGGGGAAAGATCTCACAGCATAAAGGGCAGGTGTAACCTTTATTCTCACTCTCCTCTGTCTTTTCTCCATCTTTCCAGTAGTTTATGATGCACTCTCTGCAGTAATTGTGTTCACAGTCTAGCCTGACCGGGTCCTCGTAGAGGGAGCGACACAAGGTACAGGTCACTTCGTTGACTAGACTCATGGCCAAACCTGCTTCCTCCCCTGATGTCATTGCGACAAAGATAACAGTCGTGATGCTGCAGAGCCGTAAACAAATGGTTGCTGTGGACTGAAATGAAACCAAGCAAGAAAAAGACAATTTCGAGTCATTTCAGTGAACCATGCATTTTCAGTATTGATTGAAAAGATCTGTGTCTAAGACTAAGAAGCAGTATGCGTGATGTTGTTCCTGTTTAGAATCAGAATCAGAATCAGAATTACTTTATTAATCCCTATGGGGAAATTCTCTTACATTACAAACTCCTGATGAAAATAAAGATTTAGGAAAGTTATGTACAGGTGATAGAAGAGATTTTAGATAGAACTATAGAACAATAAAGTAATTAAGATAAAAATAGTAAATAACCAATAAAAATTAAACCTGTAGCAGCAATAATATTAAGTACCTGGGTTTTTATAGCAAATGTATATACCGTATACATGGTTATTTAAGGTGACTTTGCTTATGTTTATGGTTTGTGGTTTGAGTGATCAGATATGTGAGTCAAACAGTCTTATTGCGACCGGCAGGAATGATTTAGCTGGTTGCAGATTCGTGACATGGATAGTTTTGTTACTGAACAACTTTGTCAGTTTTGGATCACCTGAAAATTGAAGGGCTGAAAATATCCCCAGTACTAAATTAGCTAGATCTATTACATATGTGCCTGCAGTAATCAAGAACTGCAATTTAATGCATCAAAAATGCATCTAAAAAACTGCCGCTGCCTGCGCAGTGGTGTAATACAGTGGGATTGTACATTCATGCATCCATTCATTCCATTCATTCCATTCATAATGAAGCTTCGGTTCTTCTCGCTATGGCTGTATTGCAATGTGAAGCAGGCGCATGTGTTGATGCAGTGTGTTCTTACTTCTTGTCTTTCCAGTAAAAACAGCCTCACTCCTGCTTGTTGATCCTTCAAAATCAAGAACACCATGAGCGTCAGTCCGTGTCTTCAATTAGTTTTAACTGGCTTTCAACAACAGATTATGAATCCAGGCACTGACCTGTCCGCGTTCCACGTTCCTCGTTCCGCGTTCCGATCAGGGTTAGGCCCAGATCTGCCTTCGCCTTCCCGTTCCTTTGGGTCAGCGGGTGACAAAGTCTTGAAAGTAAGAGTTTCTGCTGACCCCCACTTTCTCCCGCTCTGAGTCACTTTGAATGAGTGCCGGTTTGAAGAGTTTCACTTGCAACTTCCTCTTCACGCTTCTGCCCTCCCTAAACCTCCCTAACCCCCCCTAACCCCCCAACTCTGCTGAGATCAAAGGACTAAGAGAGACTGGTTTGCAGCAAACCAAGATGCTGTTACACCCTCCCACTCACAGCTATTGGGGTCATAAGATACAGAGAGTTTCTTGTTGTGCGAAATACCGCTTAACATTCTTTCTTTTGCTTTTTACCAGTTTCATGGGTGATAGAAGCAGCTAAAATAAGCCGCATGTATTTCCATTGTGCATTCTGGTATCAAATGGATTACACACAACAGGAAGATCAGACACATAATGGATGCAGGATAAAAATAGAAGAGAAAACAGAGGTTATAGCTATTATTATATTCATTAATGCATGCAGAAAATAAATGCCAAACAAATTGCTGAAAAAGCAAGATTGTCCAGAAGGTTTAATAAAAGCTGGTTATGAAGTTAAATGCATTTAGGAGTGATATTCACCCGAGAACAAGATAATTTAGTTTAGTTATCTCCAAATAAATAATGTAATTACTAATACTTTGAATCGTATAGATATTTTCCAAAATGTAATTATGGGTTATGCTATAATATTATAGTTATTGTAAAGAACATTGGAAAAGCAGTAAGTAAAGTTAGACTGCTGAGTGTCACACTGTTTGCTCGCCTGCGTGTGATTCCTCCCAGGGCTCCTGTTTACTACAAGATTCCACATACTATCCACGTGCAGCACTTTCACACGTAGGATCTCTGTGGTTCTATAGGTGAACAAACACAGTTTGTGCAGCACTTTCACACGTAGGATCTCTGTGTTCCTATAGGTGAACAAACCCAGTTTGTGCAGAACTTTCACACGTAGGATCTCTGTGTTCCTATAGGTGAACAAACCCAGTTTGTGCAGCACTTTCACATGTAGGATCTCTGTGTTTCTATAGGTGAACAAACCCAGTTTGTGCAGCACTTTCACACGTAGGATCTCTGTGTTTATATAGGTGAACAAACCCAGCTACAATCAAAAATGCAATAAAAATCAATTTAGGAACAATCAGGAAGCTGTAACAAATAGCTTGAGAGCTGAGAAAATGATATAGCTCTAATATATCTGTGGCTATTTCCAGGTTCCTGCACAGTATAGAATTTGATTTTGGTGTTTTCCAAGTTTGGATAAGTATGAAAAAGGGAAAGAAAATACAGAAATATTTCTGTTTCCAGACTATTGCAACAAAGTACCCTTCTATGTATTCTTAATGAAACCACCTGAATGTGATCTGAATGTAATGTTTTTGATGAAATCACCGGTGTGAGCTGGTTGTCGGCTCTAGAATCTGCACAGATTGCACTTTGAAGAGCAACCTCCCAAACTAGGGACTAGTGCTGTGTCTGGTGGCTGCAAGCTTGATTGATCTCCAGTAAGAAATAATCATGAGGGCTACTTTGCAACTTGTAATACTCACAATGAGGAAATGCAAGCTTTCTCCTACTTAACTCGCCAATCCCAAATATTGTAACTGGCTGGCTAAGGATCCCAAACATGAACAGAAAGCAAAATGCACATGTAACAAAAAAAAAAAACCAAGTGTAACAATGTTTGTCATTTTGAACATGGAGAGATCAGAAGCCGTGTAGTTGCAGCCAGTGATGGTGGATCCCGGCAAGATCCTGCCAGGATGAGCACTTGCCAAAGGTTCCATCCTCTGAGGGGGGCACCTTCCCCCCCCCACCCCCCCCCCCCCCCACCCCCCACCCACCCTCCCACCAGTCAAACACTTTTTCCTTCTCCATCCCCCACTACAGTCTGAAAAGTATGGAATTTTAAAATGGAGAGTGAGTAAGAACTCATGTCACCAGAAAACATTTGTCATCAGTTCCTACTTAGTAACCACATGAAAATCTATATTATTTAGGTTTTCTGGCCGCTATAAAGGCCGAGGACGCAGTGTGACGCGGAAGGGCTTGGCTTTAAGCACCACGCTGGCCACCCCCCTGAGGTCCGGCGGGGGGGCATTATTGGCAGGAGGGAGGAACTGAAAATCACGCAGCATGTAGGCGGTAAAGAGGAAGAGCTCCATCTTGGCGATGGTCTCCCCCAGGCATAACCTCGCCCCCCCTCCGAAGGGCAGCAGGGCTCGGGTGGAAGCCCCTCCCCCCTCCAAAAAGCGCTCTGAAAGACAAAAATGCGGGGTCACTGTTTCATCATCTGAAGGAAAGGGGGTGGATTCCAGGTGGAGGTGTGTGGCTCAGTGGGTCGGGCTGCTGGGCCTGTGATTGGGCCCTTGAGCGCTGGACCTGTGATTGGGCCCTTGAGCGCGACTCTAACCCCAAAGTGCCCCAGGGACCGTCTGACCCTGATTTCTTGAAAAATGCACATGGCTTTGGATAAAGGCATCCACAAAATAAATAACATGTAGCCAAGGTGGGGGGTGGAGAGGTGGAAGGGGTGTGTCCGTGACATTAAATCTTATAAGACTGGGCACTGGTTTCCATGGAGACCTGCAATTCTGGAACGTTTACACCTTTGAGGCATTGAGGCAATAGTGCTCATTTCTTGGAGACTCTCATGATGTTCCACGAAACCTGAGCTGCCGGGTGTTATACTGTGATGTAGGAACAGCAGGAAAAGGGAGCATGTGAATCACCTGGCTTGAAGGCCTTGGGCTCGGGCCAGACGGCCGGGTCGTGGTGAGCGCCGTACAGGTTCGGGATGATGATGGTGTCCTTTGGGATGAAGTAACCGGCGATGCTAAACACAAAAGCGCATTCTGTTAATCAGAATCAGAGGCATAAATCAGGGATCCCTAATTCCAGTCCTGGAGGGTCAGAATCCAACACAGCTTTCAGATTTCCCTGCTCAAACACATTAATCAGCTAATTACAATGTGTAGTAGGTGTGTTTGAACAGGGAAATCTACAAACCCAGGACTGGAACTGGGAACTCTGCACTCTCAGAAAAAAATTGTAAAAATTAGCATTTTTTCTTGACACTGGGGCTGTACCCTGAAGGGTCTGCCAATTATTCCTTTAAGCTGTAGGTAATTGGTAAGGTACAGAAGTGGACTCTGAGGAACATTTCTGTACCATTGGTGGTATATTAATGCTGTTTGCATGTTTGGGTCCATTTCTGTACCTTATAAGGTATAATTACAAAGGTACAGCCCCAGTGACAAGGTAGAAATTTGTAACCTTTTTTTCTGAAAGTGTGGTACAAACATATATCTATAAGAAATGTTGTTTTTCATCGTACACCCATACATGGCACTTAAATTTGTCAGTGATATTAGGCACAAGTGAGTAAACGTAATTTAACGTGACCGATTTAATGCAGTGTTACGGTGCATCTATTCACCTGCTGTCCTTAGTAGCGCGGTGAGGAACCGCAAGCGGAGCCACGGGTCTGAGTCTCAGCACCTCGCTGATCAGGGCAGACAGGCAGGGCAGCCTGTGTCTGTCACTGTACTGCGGGTAGCGACCCTCCAGCACCGAGCGCAGCTCGTTGTACACGCGCCACTGCACCTAGTGAGGAACGAGCGTGTCTGTAACGTATTGACGTAGTAGTGCTGGGCCTACTCAACAGCACCGATTCACATCTCACTGAAGAACACTGACGAATTAAACAATAATCAGGGAGTAATGTGAGCAGGCAAAGGATGAGAAAAAATGTCATGTGATTTAAATTTAAAACAAAAAAAGTGCTGCAGGAAGTGCTGTTGTGACCTCTGACCTCTGGCCTGTGCAGCAGAAAGGCCACTGTCCAGCACAGCCAAGCAGCCGTGGTCTCTGTGCCCCCGATGAGCAGGTCCACTGTAGACATGTGCAGGTGAGTCTCTGTCAGTGTCTGCAGACCAAGACCCAGAAAAAAGGAGGATGTTACCTTAGAGACATGACTTTGTCAGCATACCCATAAGCACGACAACAGAAATGACAACACTGAGCAAAATGTAAAATAGATGTGTAAGTATACACCTGTAGACAAAATAAGGGAAACACAAAAAGATTTGCCAGTTTCCACTACTCGCTAAATATAGCAGACGTTTGACAATAAGCTCTTTGATGTGTTATCAAAGGAATATACAGCAGTTAACAGACTTCTGAAGAGGCCCAGTAGACAAGTGTGCAAATACGGGTGCATCAGTCATAAAGACTGAATTAAAGCTGAATTATTGACTGCGTGGCCAACAGTTTCAAAAATTATGACAGTATGTGCCAAACATGTAGAACCTGCATTGGCAAAGAGGAATAGTGTCATAAGTTAAGATGCATGGATCATCAACAGCAAACAAGCATCACTTGGTGTAAGGAACACAAAGCCAGGAGCCATGAGCAATGCAAAAAAGTAATAATGTACCGATGAGTCATATTTCACCCCCCTTCCTACCACAAGGTAGGTTTACGTTCGGAAAAAGGATGCCTTAAACCCACAAAGTCTGTTGCTATGGGCAGCAATCTCATGACACTCAATAATTGCTCTGCATGGATGTTTAACAGTCATTTTACTGGACCAAGTGGTGCAAACAACATGTGAGGGCATAACATTGCCATATTCAAAAATGATAATGACCCTAAAACTGCTAAACATACGCAGGAGTGGTTTGATTAACATCAGGCTGAAGTCAAGCACTTTCCTCACTCAAATCATTGAACCATTAATGGAAGATCTGGAGTGTCAAAGCAGATTTCTGATTCCTTTATCTCTCACGGAACTGCACGCTTTCATCTTGAATAATGGTCCAATGTCTCACGACATACAGTTCAGGAGTAGTATCACAACGTTCTAAGAGGCATCGAAGCTATTCTGAAAGCAAACTGAGGCCCTACTCCTTGTGTGCCATGTCATTTATGTTGAATACAGACTTATTTTCTTGACAGACACTTTTACTCATATAAGTGTAAGAAAAAAAACACAAAATGCAGCAGGTAGCATAGTGGTTAAGAAAAAAAATGAAGCATAATCCTAACGTGACTAGTAGTAGATATGTACATTACTCCAGTTAAAGATTCAGTTGTGTAGTGTTTACCGGTGCAGTGACGTACCCCTTTGTCGTTCCTCTCTCCTGGCTTGTCCAGGTGTTGGAGAAGGGAGGCTGTAATGGTGTCCTCTGTCTCTTTGTCCTGAATCTTCATCTTAGGCCATATTAAACAAACACGAACTAAGAAAATATCTGAAACCGTCAGTAGCTACCATACGTGTGCCTGTGTTGTCGCACTTTGCATTTGGGAGTTTGGGGCTGATCGGCCCCTCTGCTCTCTCACCTCGTGGTCGTCCAGGTGTCCTCTGATGATCTTATCCCTCCTTTCCACTTCTTTCAGTAAACGAGAGAAGGGGGGGTTGGGCAGCTTCTGATTTTGCAAAGCAAAAGTGAATTTGCCTTTGAATATATCATGTTGTGTCTTATAGAAAAACCAGCTCGACCCTTTTTCCCCCAACAGCTGCAAACGATAAATTCATACCCCTACAAACAGAGTGAATAAGCTGCATGTTCTGCTTAGATGTTTCAAAGTTTGTTGCATCACCTTACATCAGGGATTAGCTTTAGATGCGGCTTGTCAAAGGGCGGATGCTCCTTTCAGATGGAGCCGCTGAAAGTGTGGTTTTGCTGGTAAAAGGTACAAACCCTGAGCAGAGGAAAGGAGTCCAGGACGGAGATCCAGGGTGAGCCCCAGAGAGACACGATCTCATTCAGGCAGCTGTGCAGACTCTGGAGCTCAGCAGAGATTTTGGTGAACTGAAGATAAAAAGTCACTTTACTTATTTTGTGGAAAACATAGAGAAGAGGAGGAAGGAATTGGGAGAACATCATACACAATCCATCTCGTCTCATTCTGACAAAATCTGCAGTTTGATTTGACACGACCTGCACAGTATAGATGCAGTGACTGTGTACTTTTCTTCAGCTGAACCCCTATCTGGGATCATTGAACGTCTTTTCATGATCATTTACTCTGTTAGCCATGCAAACTGGCCCTTCATTAGTGAAGAAGGATGACAGAAGAATAGGAAGTGTGAGATGAACTGACTTCTTTTCCAAAGATGAGGGTTGTGATGACGTTGCTTGCTGCCACTGTGAAGTCCTCTGAGAGATCCACCGCGGTGTCCTTGTAGGTCAGCAGCACCTGACAGACACACATGCACGTGTCAACGCCTCACACTGAACACCATGCAGGTCCTTTCGATGTCCAGGGAGACTAAGATCATGCTGTACCTCAGTTTCAATTGAATGCAGTTAACGTTGTTAAACACACAGGCTGACTGCCTTTGCAGTGTAGTTGGTGTCGCTCCACGTTACCTGCCTGAGGCTGAGAGCCTGCCTCTCGATGACAGCGTGCAGGGATTTAAGACAGCAGCGCTGCAGGGCACTGTGCACCAGCCGACGCTGCATCTTCCATCCCTGGCTGTAGTCCCCCAGGGAGATGGAATACCCCCCCCCAGAAACCAAATCGCCTGAGCGGGACAGGGGGGGCCAGAAAGAGGGCAGGTCCAGTCAAGTCAAGTGAAGTCCCACCAAGTCGCTTTATTGTCATCTTAGCCGTGTACAAAGCACAGTGAAACCTGATAATGTTCCTCCTGGACCCATGATGCAACATTCATGACAGGACAGACATTACCGAACAATTTTAGGAATAATTTACAAAAGAAAAAGGTTAAGATAAAAGAAATAAAGATGTTAGATTAAGTAGGCTAGCGTAATATTTGTTCAAGTCTGAGGGATACAATGGCTGTTGTTGTGTGTGTGTATGTGTGTGTGTGTGTGTATGTGTATATACTGTATATGTATGTAGTACCTGTGTAGGAGTGTGGCCTCCCAGCGAAATCAGTCCACTTCTTCACCAGAGCTTCCCTGATCGTGTCGCCACTGCTTAACACCACCATGGCTGCAAGCAAAACGATTCAGTCTCTATTCTGATTGGCTGACATTAGTTGACACACTAGCTGTGAAACCACAAAATTCCAGTACTTAAAAATAACCGGTTTTCAACTGTTGTGCTTAAAGTTCGCCTTACATTTATATCAAAATTATGTGGCAGAAAACTGAACATAGGCGTTCATCTTCAACACGCATTCTTGGATGTATCGTTTTTGAAAAACAAAATCATTTGACAAGATTAGTCTACAGCAGTGTTTCCAAATCCGGTCCTTGGGGACCCACAGACAATCCATGTTTTTGCTCCCTCCCAGCTCCTGGTAGCGATATTTGGACTCTCTGGCAGGGAGGTGGGAGGGAGCAAAAATGTGGACCAGCTGTGGGTCCTCAAGGGCCGGGTTGGGAAACACTGGTCTACAATGTAACACAGAATATGATTTACTTGTTTTGCCATATCGAAGGCGGTAGATGTTTCCATAACGTCGGGCTAATGAGGTCAGGTGATCGGGCAGATGGTCTCGTGTGAGATCCAGCATGTTTCCCAGGAGGGGGAGCGAAGTGGGTCCAGGGAGAGAGGGGGATAGAGAGTGGGGACGGAACTGGTAAACGGAAGACAGGAATCTGGAGCCAAGAGCTGGAAGGAAACGACGAATGAATATAAGTAAATATCAGTGTCTAATAACAGTAGATACTGCTCAGTCCAGCAAGAGAGACAATTAATACTGTACATTGTCCACACCATCCTTAAATGTTACAGTCATGTAGGACTTCAAGAAAAATGACTCACCATTTGAACTATAGTCTGATTCACTCCTTTGTTTCTCTCCTGTACGATACAGCAGTAAAATCCACAGCAGGAAGAGTATTACTGCAGCAGCCATGCTCAAAAAAGACAAAGACATTGTGGAAAAGTTTGGGACGCCCCTCCTGTTTCATTTATATAAGATCCCTGCCCTCCCTCCCCAAGAGGAGTCTGTGTTTACAGCCATCCATCTTCACTCTCAAGGATGGCTAAACAATAATACAGGCATGGCCGTGGTGTTTGTTATGAGGTGAAAAGGTGGAGAAAACAAGGAGACCAAGAAGGCTGGATTAAAAGGAAACTTAAATAAAATACTGGGTAAAATGCCATCTGTGGTCTTGAAGTCTTGAAGATCTAGTACAAATGACACATTTTTGCCAGATGCAATGTCCACTGCTGAAAATACACTCAAATTGCAGCCTTAGTATGTTACTATGTACTAGATCAATACTGGTCTATCAAATATGTTTATACAATAGCAGGTAGTGAATGAAGAATATTGGCCAGAAGTTCTTTATTTGTTTATTTATTAAGTGCTAGAGAGAAACAAAAATTGTGAGATACAGAGACAGCTTCAAGGACAGGAAAGAATATCTGAAATAACAGTTTATTCAGTGCTGGAAAAACATAGATCAGCTTAGACACTTACAGCAGGCAACACGAGTTCAAGGCTTTGGTCAGGGATGGTGGGGGGGGGGGGGGGGGGGGGAGCTGACTCATTGTGGTCAGCTGCCTCGCTGCTACTCTAGGTAGAGTCTTCTAACCTGAAGGCTGTGAGCTTGGTCCTCTTGGGGCAAGATGCTCTTTCTTTGGAGGCTGCGTGTAGCTCTGAGGATCAGGGAAAATCGGCAGTTTAAAAGCAGAGTGATTTCACCACTGGGCCCTTGAGTTGGACCCTTAACCCCAGTTGCTTCCAGCTTTCTCAGTTGTATGCCACTTAGAATAAAAGCATCTGCTAAGTAAATAAAAGTGAGTGGAACCTGACGTGTGACAGCCTCTGTGCTCATACGCGTGCTTAGTATTTAAATAGGCCCTTATTGATGTGTCTCCATTTCAGCTGTGTGTTTCTCTCTGACCTCGACAACAGGCTGCGCTATCAGTGAACCCTACGGCCGCACACTTCCATCGTCACGCGTGATCGCAGTGTCTTACTTATCACAATCACCTTTCACACATTTATTTCTGCTGGTCACTAGTTTATCACTTTCTTTCTAACCACATCCGATAAAACTACAAATTTCAGCACAGCTTACTACTCCGAGCTTAATATCAATTTTAGGGGCCCAGTGTTCCCATTACATACTTGTCTCTTGTGCTTTTGTTTTGCTATTAGCATTAATTAAGGCTTTACTTCTAACAGTTCAAAATAAAAAGGATCAGTTGCATTTTAATGCCAAGTTGCATATTTTTTAATGTAAACTATAAAGGATGAAACTGGCCAACGGTGCTGTGCATTTTAGAATGAATTCACATCAAAAGTGGTCTTTAATAGAAGCTTGGAAAAAGCTCTTCTGTCAAAACCTGAATTCTAAGCCCGTGTGATGATTTAGGCTTGTGAATCATGTAGTAAACCTGTTTGGAGGCTGTGCCATGGTTGTGTGTGTGAGTTTGTGCTTGTGAGCACATTGAGTTGTAGATAAAAATCAAGCTACTTTCTATTTATCTCAGTGTGACTCTCTATTCCTGAGTCTGTGGGATGAATGACTGCGGTCTGATCTTCATCTCGGTGAAGGGAATGGAGACGTCCCGGCCTTTCCATGCTGTCCAGATCACACCCTGAGACCAGGAGAACGGGAGCAGTTATTGAACCAGAAGATAAGCACTGAAAGGTAAACACTTAAGTTACTTGGATGAGCCAGCTCTGGGTGTAGCGGCTCCAATGCAGTGTGTAACAGTACTTACCGTAGTTCATATAATATAGTGAAACTGCTCACGCAAAATGTTTAAGTGGATTTATACTTGAAACTGGTAAATAGTGGAGTCAGTGTCTGTTGAGAGTTGGTGGTGTGACATTATGTTTGGCTGTTAGTCATGAGAGAACAGAGAGCTCCACCTGGTGGTTGGTGTTGGTGTCATACAGGCCGTTGAGGTTGGCCTCGTGGCAGTCCTTGTACCACCAGCCTCCTCTATAGGACGCAGCACATCCACTGAGGACCGGCTTGGGGTCTCTGTCTTTGGTGGAAAATGGCCGCCCATTGTGGTACTGCATGGAGTCACCTATGTAAAGAGGCTCGGTGAGTGGAAGTTAAGAAGATCCAGACTTGTATATTTTCACTTTAATTCTCTCGTTGCATGCTTTTAGCCTCCTTGAATTACATTTCTTCCCCACGATCCTCTGCATGTCCCCTGTCCTCCTCCACCTCTCATTTCTCTTCGTTTAAGGAGCCGTCCTTACCAGCAGTGCCTGAGTACCCAGACAGGTTCAGTGTGTAGAACCTTCTCTGTGAATCGATGGAGAAAGAGGAGTAGTGGGCGAATGCGGACTCCGCTCCTGCCACGAGGTCCACCCTCAGCACCATGGGCTCCAGGCCGGTCAGGCTGTGAATCAGCTCGTTTCCTGTTGAGAGGAAGGGAAGGACAGAGGGGAACGATACAGATGCTTCTTCAGTGAGGCCCTTTCAAGGGGAATCACATGGAACCATCTCTGTATTCCGCATAGCTACACAGTAGTGATTTCACAAATTCCGTTATTCTCATAGAGTCCCATGGAATATAGGAGTCTTGTGGAACAATGTTTCTTTTTCTTTATTCTGTCGTATAGGGTTTAGGTACTATAAACACCTAATATAAAAGATAAAAGTATAATGTAAGATGAATATGCTCAGTATAATGTATATATACGTAATGAACAGAAACTTTGTACACATTTACACAAAGTGCAGCCCCTGGTGAAGAAACGTGTCTAACTTAACGGGTAAGTCATCCTCACCAAGCCAGAACTCCTCACTCAAGTTGCCAAAGCCTTTGCTGTAGTCATTCCAACTCCGAAAGAAGTCTGTCCTTCCATTCACTCTTCTCTGAAAGACCTGGGCAGCAAACAAATATTCCATTTCTGAATTATTAGCGTGACTTAATACATAACTTTGCTGTTGTTGTCGGTATTTGGTATATCCTACACATACGGTACCTATTCTCTGATGATGTATATATTTATAAGCCAGTTCAATGTGAACTTTTAGAACATGAATACATTACATTCACATTTTGTTCTTCTTCCTCAGTAGACAAACATCACCTCGCGTCCTTCACTTAGCTGCATACGGCCTAAGCCTCTCTGGCAGTGAGTGTGCCCCCCCCTTCCCCCCCCCACTGTCCCTCACCGTCCAGCCGCCTCCATCGCTCTCCATGTCACAGAAGACCCGCACAGCCGCCCCCTGCCTGCCACTGGGGTAGATCAGCGCCTCCCCGGAGGCTCGCAGGCCGTTTAGCAGCTCCTGAGAGCAGTCCGTAGGAAAGGGGAAGCGCAGGGGGCCTGGGCCACGGGACCAAGGGGTGGGGTCAAAAAAATAGGTTGGAATAGAATAGAATAGAATAGAACCTAAGACTACATTGAAAATGAGCACATGGCCAGCAAGTGGTTGGAATGTTAAAGAGATAGTAAATATTTCTTCAAGAGAAAAACCACTTATATACATGCTATACAATAATAATTATTGCCTGAATACTAAATTCTTATTCTTTACTTAAGAAACAGTGTCAATGGATAAGTCAGTACTGCTAACCAATATATGCTCCTTCTAGGCTTCTATGGCACAACTGTGATACAAAAAACAAAACATCCCGAAAGCTCTATGGGCCCAGATTTCCAACAATTTTTCCAGGTACAGCACAACAGGGACTCTCACCTGTGTTAAATTCAGCGGAGATGGGTGCACTGTAGCGCCCCAGCCTGGCTGCCTGTATCTTTGCAGTGTATTTGGACATTGGCAGTAGTCCTGTGAGTCTGTGTTGTGTCACAGTAGAGCCAATAATGATGTCCTATTACAAAGAAGGACCAAAAAGGCAGGTTTCTCAGGTAAGTCTGTACTTGTACATTTGTGCATAATTCAATGCTTTCGAGCCAAAACAGAAAACATTACAGCACAGCCCTACCAAAAAAACCCCCTCAAATTTAACTGCAAACTAAATTCTTTAGTTTAATGCATCTATGTATATCAAAAGCTATATGCAGAGTGTATCAGCTGAAAAACAGATATAAGGAAACGTGTTCACCTTCATCTCCTCTCCTGCCATCTGATAGGACAGCTTATATCCTGTCACCTTTGCACTTGGTGGTCTCCATGACAACACTGCAGAGCGTGGGGTCACCTGATTGACTATCAGGCGCTGCTCCCATCTCCATCCACCTTCTGGGAGAAACACATATATTTATTCATTAAGCAGATGCTTTTATCCAAAGCGATCAGGTTAGGGAGCAGGATCAGTCAGGGTCCCAGGAGCAGGATCCAACAGTGATATAATTACTCTGTAGGCCATGGGATCCGAACCTATGACCACCTGGACATGTGTGTGAATTTGCCCACTGCAGTACTATGTGCTTATGCATGTGTTAGTGTCTTTGTGTTTGTGGCACTGACCCCCTGCCGTGGTGAAGGTTGCACTGGCTGCGATGCTCTGCAGGCTGTCCAGCTGACTCGTCACTGCCACATAGTATACAGTGGCACTGTGCAGGTCCTTCATCTGCAGTACAGCTGCATTGCCTGGGACAGTCACTGTCAAATTCCGCACTGGAAAAAGAAGAGACTGATGCTTAGTGAGTGTACAGGGTATAACTGCATATCACAGTATTACTGCATTCAGTGGTGCAGGATATACAGATATATATCTGGCAGGGTCACTCACCCTTTTCAGATCCATAAATCACTATATAGCGATCGACTTTAGCCAAAGCGGGAGTCCACTGGAGGACGGCCTTGGTGTTTGTTATGTTGATGATCTGCAGGGATGTTGGAGGGTCAGGGACTAGGACAGGGTGAGAGAATACGGCATAATAATTACTGAGGATAATTCATGAATTATTTTCATAAAACATATTTATCAGTAATTTATTCCTATTACTTGCTAAATTTCTTGGGGGTTAGAATCAATTTAACATTTTTAAAAGATAGTCCTCTCTGTCAACGCTTGGAGTGTTTTTCTTTGGGATATACATAGTGAATGTGTAACTTGAAAATGATACATTTAATAACTAATAATGCATTTTAAAACTTTGATAACAGTTGTCTTCACCACCAAGTTTATTAAAAAGACTTACAAATGGATGTGAGACTTGACCTTTATTCCACAATCCAAATATATTCAGTACAGATTATAACTGGAAAAATATATTTGTGCTTTAATCAATGTTTGATTAAAAAAGTGCTCTGCAATAGTCAGACCCTGCTTTACATGCTACTTTTCCAGGGATAATATTAGATTTGCATTAACTGTAAATGAATAAGTGCTTAATGAAGGATGTAGTTCTACAAATAGGTAAAATTCATTATAAGCAGGAAATACACTGACTGATTCTTACCTGTGACAACAAGGCCAGTGATTGGGTCACTCTCGTCCAATCCCTTCATGGAGAACACACGGACCTCATAGGAGGAGCCAGGGGAGAGCTGAGAGAGGAGCAAACTGGAATGCTGGGGGTCAGAGGTCATGGTCACAGGCTTCCCTGGGGAAGAGAGAACAAAATATACCGGGAATTACTGAGTACAAATCGACCATGTTAGACACTCAGTGTAACAAATAAACCAAGTTTTTACAAGTAGCATAAGCAAGGATCGGCCTTACCGTTGTCAGTGTTAGTGTAGGTGACTTTGAAGCCGTCTACTGCTAACCTCGGCTTAGTCCAGGACACAGAAAGAGACGAATGTGTAACGTCGCTGAATAGCAGGTCAGTGGGGGAATCCGGAGCTGGGCGAGATGGAGGGAGACGTGGAGTCAGATGCAAGAGTCACGACAGAGTGTGGCACAAAATGTGAGGGGGAACCAGGTCACCATGCATGGTGACATACAGGCTCAGTCTGTAATGGATTACTATTGTGAGTAACTTCCCCAACACTGCGTATATCTATGGTGAACTAAAACAGAATGTGCTTCAGACATAAAGGGAAATAAGTCAATATGCATGTACCATCTAGAATCAGAATTCCTTTATTAGTCATCTACAAAAAAAAGTAGAAGTAAATTGTTTTGATCCAAGGGAAGTCGGGAAAATGAAGAAACGTTACCTGTAGTGACGGTGATGCGATGGATTTTGGATCGCAGTCCTAGGCTTGTTCCATACAATGACACTGAGTATCGAGACTGAGGGTGAAGGTTCCGGAATGACAGGGAGCGGGCAGAGCCTGCAACAACTTGTGTGAATCTTCTGAGATGCGTTTTGGCCCTTGAATCATTGTGGGGTTTCAGCGATACATGAACTGTTATGCTGTTGTTACTTATCTTTGTATGACCAACACCTTTGCCCAGAGCACTTTGATCAATATTCATTCTGTCAGGTAAAGCACCTCCTTCACTTTGTTCCTCCTCCTCCTCCTCCTCCTCTTTGTTCTCCTCGACCTCATCTTCTTCCTCCATTTCCGTCCTATACTCTCTTCTGGTCAAAGTGAAATTTTTAAACGATCTTTGAGGTGCCTCCCAAACGATGGTGAAACCTCTGGAAGTTACGTTTTTCACCCTGATAGATATAAAGGCTGCTTCTCCTTTTCGAGCGCTGCTGCTACTTCTGTTGGTTTCCATACGCGGATCAGGGTGAATATCGACTTTACCGGTGTTTACTGTGTGGCTTGAGGTTCTGTTATAACTTATTTTAGTAGAAGCCTCTTTTAGTTTAGTGATACTGGAGTTATTCCTTTTTATTTCAGCTTGAATCCTCGTCTTATTGGGCACATCTGTCTGAATGCTTGTAATGTCCTTCTGCATTTCTTGAGTTCTTTGTCCACTTCTGCTGGCATTTCTAGCTGCCGACCCTTGGCTTCCTGTAGGCCCCATTATTATTTCTTCTTTTAAGGGCTGACTTTGCATCTTAGGAAAACCGCGTCCATGTTGAGGACCTCTATCTAGATGATGAGGGCCTGCCAAGGTTGGACGAGTCCCATTACGGGTTTGAATATTTTTTGAGGCCAGGCGTGGTAGAGTTTCTGATTCGGCAGAAGCACTATTCGTCTGGGCGCTTGTTCCATTAATATTGTTTTCCGTTTTTAGTCTCTCATCCTCCGATCCTTTCGAAGCAGCTGTATTCATTCTTTGATTTACAGTTGCCTTTACTGAGGAAATAGCATATTTCACCGACCCAGCATTTGCATTACTCAGTGCAGTTTTATTTCCCAGAGCTACAGTGCTGCTACCTGTGTCGCTTACAGGAACGACGCCTGATTTTCTTAGATTATCTCCTTGGTTATGTTTAGGTTTGGCGTGATCATCCGTGGTTTGTGTTCTGTTAACTTTGCCCTGGCTTATGTTGGTCTTTTGGAGAATTTTAGATGCGTTCTTCACAGCCAAAATCGTTTTTTCTGTTACCTTCCCTGGTGCTGTTCTATCAGTTGCCTTTGCCGAACTTCCTTTGCCTTTCAATTCCACATTTGTATGATTTACAAAGGCTGAAGCTCGGCTTACATTGTGGTAGATCAGTTTGCCTGATTTTATATGGGTTTGGTTTGCTGAATCTCGCTTGATATCTACAGACATTTTTATATCAGATTTAGAACGTTTATCATCCTCTTTCTTTTGAAGTTTGGAATCTAGTTTTCTGGTCTTTGTCTGATGTTCTTCTATGTTCCATTTTGGCTGTTGTAGAATGGCCTGCACAACTTTATGTCCCATTTGTCCACTTCTGGAAGTGTTGGAATGGACTGTAGTAGCAATTGTCAGTTTTTTGACCATGACATTTTTCTTAGATTCAAATCCCTCATTGTCTTTTGCACCACCTGGTTTAAGATCTGAGTCTGCTTTTGCGTGTGATTTTGTAGTATTTGATTTCACACCCAAGTCTGGTTTTGGTTGTGATTTTGTAGCATTTGATTTCACAAACATGTCTGGTTTTGGGTGTGGTTTTGTAGCATTTGATTTCACACCCAGGTCCAGTTTTGGTTGTGATTTTGTAGTATTTGATTTCACACCCAAGTCCAGTTTTGGCTGTGATTTTGTAGCATTTGATTTCAGACCCAAGTCCAGTTTTGGCTGTGATTTTGTAGTATTCAATTTTAGATCCAAATCCAATTTATTGTATGATTTTGTAGTATTTGATTTCAGACCCAAATCCACTTCACTGTGAGATTCTGTAGTATCTGGTTTCAGATCCGAGCTGACTTTGGTTTTACTGATGTTCTCCATCTCTTCTCTCCCCTCTCCCCTCCTCAATGTTCTCTGTGGATTTTTCTTCTCCTCATTTTTGGAGAGTATAGTCTTGGCCAACTTCCCATGTATCTTTTCTTTGATCGTGTCATTTTCTGGTGTCAGCGTCATTGTCACCGTTTCTATGGTCATTGTGGTCATTACACTCCCACTACTGTCTAGAAATAAAGGGGTGAGACTTTAAGCCACTGATTTTTATACATCAGGCCATATTTATACAATTCTTTAGTAACATAACGGTGTCTCATGTCATACTAATGATGATGTTCACAAATGAGTTTGTGAAATATCATATTTATGTTTAAAATTACACAAGACAAAATATATGAAATATTTCATAGAAATATAAGTACAAATATTTTGTGTACACTAGCTCACAAAATTTTTCCCATATAAAGTAATTATTCTTTTGTATCTGTTTACTACTAAAAAATTGACTCTGTTTACTAAGATCCATTATCGTTTAAACCTAAAATCATGAAATGGCTGCTGTCAAACAGGGATTTCACACTGCTGTAAGCTAAATAAAGGGTGAAGAGTTTGAAGATCTTTTGTTATTTTGTTCCAAAATATTTATGTCATTAAGGTAACTGAAAATGTGCTGTAATTCCCCAAACTGACTAGGGAAATTAAAGAGTGATTTCAAACAAATTTGAGTTTTCTGCCCATAAATGATGTGTAGATAAATGATGTGTAGATACCTATATTAACGTGCATCATATTTCTCCCTAGTAATGTAACACATTATGCATTGGTACGTAAGACTGGCCTTTACTAAATTATCCAAATGGATGTTAAGGGTGAGTAACTTACCCCTCTCGCAGTCAGTGCCGCCGTGTCCATCTTTGCACTTGCAGTCGGGGCCTGAGTATCCAGGGTGACACACACACCTCCCCTGTACACACCGTCCTTTGCCGCTGCAGTTACCGGGACAAGGCGCAGTGGTGCAGTGCACCCCCGAAAAGCCAGCGTCGCACTCGCACTTCCCACGGACACACCGGCCCCGGCTGCCACAGTCGCCGGGGGGGCAGGCGGCCGTGCCGCAGTCAGGCCCGATGAAGCCCGGGAAGCAGACGCACTTTCCCTTCTCACAGCGGCCTTGGTCACTGCAGTCATCCGGACACCCGTCGCCATTTTCCTCTTGGAAACATCAAACAGAGAAAGTGGCCTTACACAGGCACTGGCTGAAGATTCCCGTCAAAATCCAAATCTGGAATTTGTAGTGAAGAATTAATTTTATATGTGAACTTTGTAAATGGGACTCTTTAAAATTCTGGTTGGAATTTACCTTACAATCCTTAGGACCTCAATAATTTCCCACTGGGATCAATAAAGTTTATCTTAATCTTAATTTTAATTTATTTAGGATAATGGATAATGTTCATTTTTGCACGTTTTTTTCATTTATTTCATTTTCAGAATAATGTATTACCTATATTTCACATGATGAAACCAGTCTTATATATTATTGTATATTAAACATAATTCATATAATCAGATTATACAGTATATCAGTGAGAATATGGATTTTGTGTGTAATAGGCAGGTGGCCAGTGAGATGCCTGCCATCCTTCACGCTGCATTACCTCCTCCCCGCTGTGGGGGAGGGCAGGAGCTCTCAGGACCCCCACATTTCCTCCTCAGGGTGGACACCTCCATCTCCAGCTTTTCCAAACGCTTCCGCAGGGCAGAAAATTCTGAGTCGCAGCTCCCAGCACAAGATGCCGGGACGACACTGATCTTGTGAGTCAGAATCAGCGACGAACCCGGGTCCAAGTCCACCTCCTGGCTGAGGCCCCGAGTCTGGTTGGCTGTGTCCCCTTGTTTGTCTTTCTCGATGCAAGTATCCAAAATCAAGAGCTTAACTGGTGAATGTGGTGAAGTGTGGCTGGCATCTCCTAACGTCCTTTGATTACTGGTTTGAGCAGGTAAAGCAAGGGTAGGCTGGCTGTGATTGGCTAAAACTTGCTCTTGCCCAACTTTTGCAGACGCTGCAGGACTTTGTTCTGTAAGGACAACATTCTGGGAGCTGGTCTGAGGTTTTGAAGGAATGATTTTCACTGAGTAGCTGGTCTGTGCTGGTACTGAGGTGGGGTTTTTGTCACTAGCTATGGACTGTAGGTCAGAAGGTGGCAGCAGGACACAGAAGAAGCTCATGAAGAAGAACATTTCAAAGCGGCGAGGGGGAAAACGAACATCCATCTTGAAAAATACTGAAATATAAATATCAACAGGGGTGCTGGTGTGGAACTTGAAATCTGGTTTCAAAATGTAAGTGGTGTCGTTTACAAGATAGCCTTCTTTTTGGGAACAGATAAAACAGAGTGAGGACTAGGAAACTGTAAAGAAGGCTGGACTGACAAAGTGTCCTTCTTCTGCTCCAGAGAGGGAGATGCTGAATCAAGCAGGTTTCTCTAAAAAGAAAGACCATCCACATTAAAGAAATTTCTGCTGCAGTGAAACACACAAACAGACATGTAATATGCTGGAATATTACAAAAGCTCAATGTGTGAATGTGCTGGAACTTGTGGGCTTTGTGCAGTTATAGACTGAAATGGTGCAGTTTTGTTTCCTGATTGTGTCACCTGTGATTTAACCTGTAATAGTGTAAACTCTAATCAGCCGGTCCCATGACCAGTACTGTATATGGCCTGTAGCTCCAGCCTGATGGTCACGGCTCCCCATAGCAGTGCAGACTAATTTACATTTACTTGTTTATCAGACACTTTTATCCAAAGTGATATACAAGCAAGGCAGATGGTACTAAAGTTCCGTGGTGGAGATAGAAATGCAGAATTTACAAATTTACAATGGCCTCCCCCAGATGTAAGCTACAGGCATTTTTACAAAAACAAAAAACACATACAGTACACTAAATTTACTTTTATTTGTTTTTAACTTATAAATTTTATATTCTGTACAGTTCTGAAGCAACAACTCAGCTACAATTGCATTTTCAGTCAGGAAGTGAGAGCGAACAGTGCATGAAGGTATGAGGGAAATCAGAGGAACAACTTATTTCAGTTTTGGCCGCTTAGACGAGGAGCCATAAAGCGAGAGGCCGATTCGCCAGGCACATGTGAGCCATGCAGACACACAGAGCACCATTGTATTCAGCCTCATTGGACTGTACCTCCTATACCTTTTACTCAGCCTAAAATGAAGTTCAGGTTTATACATTTCTTTTTTGGTTTAAAGTTTACCTTGCAAGTAATAGTCAAATATTACATACCAGGAATTATTAGCTTTATTATATTCATTATTTTATTCTTGTCAACATAAGATCCCACCTTAGTAACATAAGAAAAAGAGAAAATATACATATTACATAATTCTGGAAAGCAAACACTAGTATGTTAATGTAAATGTAGACAAACAAAAATGGGAACTATGACTTTATGGAAGACAAATATGCAAGACAGAGCAACAAAAACAGGCAAAATAAACAACACTAAGCAAAAGAAACTGTTTTTAGAAGTGCCTCTGCCTTTTGTGCATAATTTTTAAGTTTAACTTTAAAGGTAACTGTCATCTATGTGCATTAAATAATTACTATAAAGCATCAACTGTAATATGTTATGTCTGAAATTAATTTGAGACACGGGTGCTAATGTAGACACAGTAATGTGAGATGGATTGGGATCGCCATAGTTACCATTCAGACACACATTAAGTACACTGTGCAATAAGCATGTTCTGATGTTTGAAATAAAAGGAAGCCTTACCAGTGTGTAGTCCCCCCTGTGCGAGTCAGTCTGCTGCTCCGGCTCCTCGCTCCCAAGCCCCCGCCGGCTGAATGTGAGAGGAGGAGGCTGGTGAGATGGGAAGAGGGGACCAAGGTTTTCCTCTCTTTCTTTCCAACCTCTTCCCCTCCTCCTCCTTCCAGGCATCTGGACTAATTACAGCGGCCATTTCTACATGGAAGATTGTCTGCTTTAATAGCTGATGACATTTCATCAGTTATACTTTTGCTTCTTTTGATGGAACGGAGTGGGGGGGGGGGGGGGGGGGGGGGAGGTGGGGGGGGGGGGGGGGGGGGGGGGGGGGCACTGTGATACAGTGGTTAACACGATCACCTTGCACTTCTGGGTTAAAGTCTCCACTAGGGTACCTTCCAAATAGGCTCTAGACCTCCCACAACCCTGAATAGAACAAGAAATTGTATGTATGGATGGGTGGGTGGGATTGTCAGTGAAGAAACCTGCCTTGAACAATGCTCAGTGTGCCAAACTAAAAGAGGTCGTTTGTGAGTAAAAAATATTAGGATTTTGATAGTAGGCCTGCCAAGCTGAATCCAAACAGTGCGTCACAATGTTCTTCAGAATGACATCTAAATGAAATTCACCGTCTGCTGAGATGAGATGTCTCTCCCGTTTGACTGGAGTTATGTAAGAACCACACACCCACCAAATGACTGTCTTAGGCTACACCCTACAGTCCCCTTCCACACATTTAAACACCTGAACATATACTAATCGTTTTCCTTTACACTGTGGTTTAGTGAGTTAGTGCCATTAACTCACACCTCCAGGGTTGTGGGTTTGAATCCTTTTACTGTGTGAGTGGAGCTTGCATGTTGCATGTTGTGCAGATTAATATACATACATAAGGAGTTTTCTGATATGTCAATATGATGCTTTTGTTACGATAAACCAGCTGCACTTCAGACCAGGTTACCCATCTGAAGCTTTGCAGGTCTGGGCCTGGATATAACACTGTCATAGGAGACCAGCCAGGAAAGCTGGGTCACTGCTGGCAGTGCGACACTTACACTGTTATTACTGCTGGGAGTGCGACACTTACACTGTTATTACTGCTGGCAGTGTGACACTTACACTGCTATTACTGCTGGCAGTGCGACACTTACACTGCTATTACTGCTGGCAGTGTGACACTTACACTGCTATTACTGCTGGCAGTGTGACACTTACACTGCTATTACTGCTGGCAGTGCGGCACTTACACTGCTATTACTGCTGGCAGTGCGGCACTTACACTGCTATTACTGCTGGCAGTGTGACACTTACACTGCTATCACTGCTGGAGATTTTATACTATTCATTCTATCATTTACTGTTTATATTGTATAACATTGTTTAGTTACACTGAACATACAGTTTACACTTTTATTTATTATCCATTTTTAATACTGTGCTGGTTCTGGTGTTGCTTTTATTATCTATTTACAATATTACTGGTATTTACCATATTTTTGTTCTACTTTTAGATTTAATTTATTGTCATCGATAGCATGAGGTATGGAAGCTGAATCTTGTTGTACTTGTGCAATGACAATAATGATAAATTTTTTTTTATCATATTCAGCCTTATTTTTTATTACACTGGAATTTCACTGGAAAACTTCAGCAAAAGGACTCCATATAGCTGAAGGGTGCACAAAAATTTTCCACTCCAAATTGGAGCAAGCAGCTTTTAAACTTCAGCCAAAGTTAAGAAAATATCGGCCAGGGGTGGGAAGCTGCTCTGGTCTCAGTCAAACTGGAGTCAGAAGCGTTAAACCCAGAGCAGCGTTTCTCCTTTTTCGTCTTTGTTTTTTATGATATTTTTTTATAATCTACTGTGAAAGGTAAATGTTAAACCACTGAAAGGCATTTCTGCAGGTTATACATCAGACTGTGACACACCAGTATGCTGGTTACTGTATCTCGCAACAACAGCAACAATGTGAATAATTTGGTGCAACAAGGTAGCAAGTGACTAATAAAAATGCCATTAATCTCCAATGTGTCCCTCTTCCAGGAAGATTGTCGTTATAATGGTGGCAACGGGTAAAAGTATAACTAGGTCACTTACAAAAAACACAGAGACCTGGAATTTACGAAATGCTGAATGAATGAGTTAAAGAATGTTGAGCAGTGCTGAAACATTAAAGCGTATAGGGGGTTCATTTTGTCAAATGGAAATATGTGGGTTTTGAGGTGGCTCTGTTTACTTTGCCCTCGTTGGTTCAAACTTAACGAGAAGCTCAATGCCAGCAGTGAAACAGTGAGGGTGTTGAATGTTACCTGACAGAAGTCTGAGCCAGTAAACCCGTGATGCTTATGTTGGACGTCTCTTCAGGAATTAAAATAACATCGACACACAGGCTTCGGCCTGTTCCTGCAGTCTGCTCCTTCCTTTCCAATCGGCTTGTTCCACCTTGGCCGCCCCCCCATCCTTTCTCGCTCTTAGCTCAGCTGATCCATCTCTCCTTATTCCAGTGTGTGCTGTCTCCCTCTCTTTCATAAATCTAACGTGAATGTGGTTGGAAAAGTCTGATTTGCTAATATTTGCTGATTAATACTGAAAAATCAACTCAATAACTCAACACATAAAGGCTTTACAATATGAAGTTTTTCATTCTATGTTCAAACCTACTGAATGAACAGTTGCAGGATTAGAAAGTGCAGCTCCTGAGTGCAGTCTCTACATTATTCCTGTGGCATTATTGAAATCTCGGTTCCCATGCTTCGTGTTGTTGGTACCCTGCCTCAGGTCACCCCCTGTGGTCCCCCTGTTTTGCAGTTCTCCCTTTGTGTTGTTGGTACCCTGCCTCGGGTCGCCCCCTGTGGTCCCCCTGTTCTCCTGTTCTCCCTTTGTGTTGTTGGTACCCTGCCTCGGGTCACCCCCTGTGGTCCCCCTGTTCTCCTGTTCTCCCTTTGTGTTGTTGGTACCCTGCCTCGGGTCGCCCCCCTGTGGTCCCCCTGTTCTCCTGTTCTCCCTTTGTGTGGTTTTGTCTAACAAACCCTGTTTGAGAGCCTCTGTGTGGATTGTCCCTCCGTCAAGCCAATTTAATATTTGAAATTATATAATGTAAAAATGTTACAGCTGGCTACAGGTATGTTAGAGAAACAGATAATTCATATTTGAGTTTTACATGATCATTGTACAAACATGACAGGACCAAGAAGAGCATATTAACATAATGATGAGTGCTGATATTCTGTGATGTTGGATAATTTGGTTTAATTTCTGCATTGGGCCCTTGAGGACAGCCCTAACCCCGACAGGGACACTGACTGGCCCTGATCTCTGATCCTCAACTTTACAGCACTTTGGACACTTAATACATACATGTAACATATGGTAAATATCAGCTAAAAATACAATTTGAAGCCTGAAAAGCTGCATAACTAATTTGAACTGTTGATCTGTTCTAACAATTGTGAAACTAAAGATTTACCACTTAAAGCCTATTTTTTTCATTAAAAAAATGAATTGACACTACCAGGTAATGTCCAGAGGAGGGCGCAAGGAACCTGCGACACTGTTAATACGGCGCTGGTCTCTATTTTCATTGCACTTCCTCGTTGCCACATGGCCAGATTCACTGAGTGCAGCCATTGGTCTGGTACTCAACCAAAAAATTGTCCAGATCCCTGCAGAAAATCCTGTTTGCTGATGCTTTGCATTTGCTTTCCTCAGGCAACTTTTCAACCCAGGTTGAAGAGTCCAGCAAGTACTGCATCCTGAGAAAGAGGGAAATGAGCTCAATCACAGATTCTTATTAACGCCCATAATCACAGCAGCCAGAAGCCTGAAGACTTAAAAAAAATACATGCAGAATATGCAGCATGGTCACTGCATACAACTACATACTAACCAGGAAAGCTGTTAATTAGCCAAAGCATAGATGATCTTCAGAATAACTGAAGTGGAACAGACAGAGAGAATCATCCTCCAGCACTGTAATATGTCCTTTATGTGATCTGACCTTTAACCCTGGATGCTCAGTGCAGCCTTATGTTTTTATTGCCTTTCAGAATTCTTTTGTCAAACAAACATTCTTGTGATGTGTCATCAATTAGAACATCAATAAAATGCTTATACGCATATTTCCCAAGCACCTCAATCCTGTCACTGAAATGTGTTTCTCCACAGTGGGCATAAGGGCCGTTTCTACCAGCATGCCTGGATCCCTCAGGCTCATCGTGGCTGCATCTCTCTCGACAGGCTGGGATTGTGATGCACTCACTCTCCGTTGGTGTCCTTGGTGCCGCCATCCTGGCCCATGATGAGATAGATCTGATCCAGGTCCAGCTGCCCCTTACAGTGGCGCCTCTTGGCAAACACCCGGACGCTGCCTGCCCCTACACTAATGTCACCGTCTGAGGAGCAAACAGCAACGACGAAATCAAGTAATGCCTTCTGTCCACGAAGGCAAAAAGACTTTCATTCATGAAATGCTTTTCCTCCACAAAATGACTTGTTTCATTCACGAAATGCATTTCGACCACAAAAACAAAAAACTTTCTTCTGTCCATGAAATGCAAAGTGCTGATTTCAGTTCTGTGCACAAATTGAAACATTCCTTTTGATTTCTGTGCACGAAAGTGAAGTCGTTCTGCTTTTGCGGACAGAATGCAGCAGGGCATTACTTGATTTCGTTATTAAATAATGCTTTTTGTAGTACAGAATGTATTATAGTCTATTATGTGTCTTATAGTCTATTCTGTGTAGCAAGAATATTACAGCAAAGCAGCTCAGAGTATGGATATAGTTGCCGAAATTGCCTGGGTCGTACGAGACATGCAACCTAAAACTAATAAGTTCTGGAAACTGACAATAAACAAATAAGTGAATTAATCCTCCCCTCCCCCCATGCTAACTGTCAAGAATACACAGGGGTATGGTTATGTAGGAGGCCAAATAATTCATAAGCTTACCGAAACAAGACACCACATATCCAACTGGACCTGGTGTGCGACCTGCTGGGCAGCACAGCGCTATCCGGGTCAGCGCAAAGTGCTGTGCAACTGGACAGCGCGCGGGA